TAATAAGCAAGCCAGCTTTGTCAACAAGTTTCAAAACAATGCCAACCACCAACTCACCATAGAACTAAACATCAATGCTAACTAAGAGCCAGCTCAAAAACACATTGTAGTAAGTGAGCAAATTGATCACTCACAGCCATAAAACACATTGTAGGTAGAATGTGTTGTGTTACTATTTGTGCATGTATATGTTTGAATTATTGTGGTTTTTTTAATCTTAAAGACTGATCTTCATTATTAGGGGGTTTGCAGTAGTGTTTTCTTGCCCCAAAAAAAAAAAGAAAATTTCTAGATCCGCCATACAGCTGAGCTCATGGTCATGGGTCAATCAATGAAGGAAGGTACATGCACTGATTCTTCTTTCACTTTTAGTTTCAGAAATAGACATGCATTTTTTATTCATGTCGACTGAAACTTTCTTGTAACGGGGATAGCAAAAAGTGTTATTCTCATTGCATGAAAGTCTGTCTCCCCTCATAAACCTTTTCGTTTGATGTAATCATTGGTGTGGTTTTTAGATTGGTTTTTTTTTTTGGTCAAACAGATTAGTTTGTATGCAAAACAAGACAAAGACAGGACAAGACTTCAATATTATCCTTCTAAACTTTTTACTTCTATCACATCCAATGTGAAATGCTCTCAATATGGTCCTTCACGTATATCCTCTTATTAGGTGATGTAAGAGCATGTAAAATCGTTGAACCAATCACGTGAATAACGTTGATTCTTGAAATCATCTTAAGATAGTCAAAGAACAAGAGAGATTTTCAAAAGAAAGCAATCGGGAATATGACTGTATAGCTTTATATCAAATAATTGATACATAACCAACCTAACTAATTATGTTAGCTAGTAGTATTAATTAACTAGATGTCTTAGGCATTAAGCATCCCAACAAATTCTGAGATGATATCACGGACTAATCTAATACTCCTAAGAGAGTATCAACATCAAAATTAACTTAAGCATATGTAAATAACCTATCCTAACACTACTCATGTCACTTAATTTAAGAGTAGTGCGGCTACCATATATATACAATAGTATACTCATAGGGATAGAATTAGTGTGGAGTTAGGTGGAACTGAAATACGGAGGATATCCTTACTTTTGTGAGGGTTGATGGACAATCCACTAGATCCGGCATGCGGCCTTAAGAATTTCTCCTAATTTAAAACTTGCCTACCATTAGAGGCTCTCCTACCCTGTGAGTGGTCGGCCAGGGTTATGAGAAATGGTTGAGGGAGTGTTACAAATGAATATAAAGATTGGGTCTGTTTCCAAGTAAAATAAAAATAAATAAACAAGTTGTGCCCGGTGAGATGGTTAAGAAATGGAGTTGGGCCTATTTACTTATTAGACTTTGGGAATTGGGCTTGGTGTAGAGATCTAACAATATATAAATAAATAATACAATTATATATTTTTTAATTTGGCCGGTCCAATTTTTTGGGTGTAAAATTGAAATTGGAACCGGCCAAAACTGGTCTGGTTCAATATTTTGGATCGAGTTTGACTTTTTAGTCAACACATTTTTTTCTCTGTTTTTTCAGGCCCAATTTGGTTCAGTTAGCCGGCTCTTCGATTCCAATGTCCACCTCTAAATTTAAGGACTTCGAAACTAAATTTAACAGTGACGTACAACTCAATCTTTATTTTCCAACTTATGTGACATTCTCACAACGAGTATTATTTTAACACGATTTTTCCAAAGCAACAATCTCGTGTGTATATTATGTGCCAAATAGATTGCGAGAAAAAAAATACCTTTAAACCTAAGAAGTTAACATAAATACCATTTTACTTTAGTAGATTCTGAAAGGAAAAATATTTTATATATGTATCCAATGATCTAATAATCCCCAAAAAAAGAAAAGTTTTGTTTAGGGGTGGACGACTATGTCCATGCTAACATGGGCTATAGCCCGAATGACTTGATATTTTATTAGTTCAATATTAATACTTAGCCTATCAAAGCACACCTCCACACACTCCATCCCAGTGATCCCAAACAAAGAAAATCTTTTTTTTTTCTTTAGTTAACTAATTCCACAAGTGTGGCATAAAAACTAGGTTTATTATCACAAAATATCCCTGACGTTTGCGAAATTATCACATTGCATCCCTAATGTTTTTTTGTATCATTAATGGTCCCTAACGTTAATACAGGTACTCTTAAATAGTCCCTCTGTCAAAAAAACCGTTAAATCCAAGGGTATAATCGTCAAATCAATCCAAAACTATAATTTTTTTTTCC